TTTGATTTCGAGCTTTCAAAAATCAACTTTTGGACTTTAACAGTGTTTTTGAAACTCCTACCTCAAGATAATGACTCTAGCTGAGCATTAGCTTGACGGTAGCCGAGCGAAATAAATCGCTGTCGAATTACTAATAGAAGTTCCACTCAAAAATAATCTACATCAAACCACAACAGTTGTTCATGACTGTGTATAAATTCAAATTAGAAATTCGAAAAATATCTGCAATGGCGAGTCCTTTCGATGTGTAGCCCACCGTTTGGCATTCATACAGAACCTGGAGGTGATGGGATAACTTACACAATTCTTGACTTTAGCATGGAATGGTAAAGGGCTTAAAAGGCTCGGACACAATTCGGTTCAAAATCCCGCGAAACTAATAGAAAAGCTCATCTATTTGGTATATCTAAAGCTTCATCTCTAGCAATAGGAGTATTGATAAATTCAAAGGGCAAAGCATATACCATCAACAATTTATGGCCGTATGAAACATGCTCGATGACGACGACCCTGCCATTGGGAGAATAGAAAAACGAATCAGCTGTTGTCACTGCTGGTGGTACCTCAGGCCCTAGCCTCGACATTCGCCTCAGTGAGGAGGACAGTGCTGCTGGCCTGCTATAAAAGGGTCAAACGAGTATCCTCCTCGCTCGCTTTACTCCTCTTCTTATTCATTCTTTACGACTTTTGCACATCATTAGCTAATTAACCCATTCTCGTTTGGAACTAGTAGGTAAATGAAGCGTGTCATTCAGGAACAGAAATGTCTTTCAAAACGACTATTCTAACCGCTCTCCAGAAGGTGTCTAACTCCTGTAGGAAGGTTAGTGCCGTCTACATCTACCTCAGAATAAATAGAAAACCTTGAACCTCTATCTATTATGACCAAACTGATAAATGTGTAGCTTCAAGATTGTTGAGACTTACCGCAATGTCCTTTCAGGGCAAACGGGACAGCATGCTTTTAGAGCCACCACTTCTGGCTTTACCAACCAGCCCACGGGTTGATGAGTAAGTTGATCATCTAACTTCAATTCCTTCAACTAAAAGTATTTCGCTTAAGGTATTCAAATCACTGCCAATTATGCTTACAGACTGTAAAATATCGATCGATTTCTGAGCTTTACTAGGTTAACTTTTACGCATATGCTCCAAAAAGTAGTTCAAATCAGTAAAGTTTGTTCAAATTTTGTTTTGCAAGTCTAGGATTCCGACTAATGGTAAGTTCCAAGCAATTTACTTGTACCATTTTTGAAACTCTGAACGACGTTGAGAAAACAAATTCCAAGAGTTTGTTTTTGAGCAAGTAGTGAGTAGACAATTACACTTATATTACCGCTAATTTAATTTCAATCACTCGATCATGTTGAAGGAAACACACACTATAACTATCTTAAGCAAACGGTCGACATATACAGTAGCGGTCAAAAGTGTTCGCCGAAACGATTTTTAGTGCATTATTTTTTCTCGCTTGAGCAACGCCCTCCAAAGATTGATATACTATGTTTCTAGTGTTTTATATCCTCAAGTCTTAAAGAATCAGGATATTCAAAAGAAAAAATTTTCGAGGTCACCATTGATTTTTTCTGGCAAAAAAAGAAAGCACGAAAAACCGTTTCGGCGAACACTTTTGACCGCTACTGTAGGGATGGGGGTGCTTCGCAACAAAAAACATCAAGGATACCACTAAAATCGTAAATAAAATTTTCATGAGCATCGTCCAACGCCCAAAACAACGAGAACCTCCAGAATCCTACTACATCAAGAAGACGTCAGCAAAGCATGAACAACAACAACTACATAGCGATGCCGGAGAAGACTACACGAAGTAAAGTACACGTTTGACTGAGGAATAATTTGATTTCTTCCCAAACAGTTAAAATCAACATAACAAAAAACTATCAAAACAACATCAAAATCATTTTTGTTTGAGATCCGTCGAAAAGAGCCTACCCAGCCAAGTCCAATGAACTCTCTAAATTAGACATATAGGATACGTATATGAATTGACAAGACCGCTATAGCTACCAAAACCCCCCTCTAACAATAATCCTGCAATGCGTTTAGTTAATGGAGCATATTTCGTAACATATTATTTTTGAAAACCCGTCCTAGCCCCAGAAGCGTTATTTCTTTGCAAAGCAACGGACACTTTGAAGTCATTCTTCTGCGTTTTGTTTATTATCACTCTACCTTGAGCAGACATTCACCATTGAACGAGAGGTAACAATATTTTGCGTTGAGCTGTAACGACAGGAAGGAAAACAACGCACCGTGAACTCCTGAGTGCACATTGAGCTGATCGAATAGGCGGTACCAGCCCGAGCAAAAGTGCCTCTTTCAGTAGGATTCTCATTCAGATGCAATAAAACGGTAAAGAAATGGGGCAGATTAATAAGAAGGGCGTCTTTCCGAGTATCTTCAGCTTGATTATGAGGGTTCTTAGCAGTTTTTGCTGCCTTTCACCAATGGTCAACCCGAAATATCACATTTGATTTCATTTTGAAGCAATAACACAAAACTATTTGATCACTTATGCGTCTTTGAGGTGGGATTCAGCTTCGGCGACTTTTCAAAATTCAGAACGGACAAGATTCAACTTTTTATCAAAAACTTTGACTCTTTAGACCTCTTAATGCTAAGCGCGTGATTGTGTTGATCCGAAGAAAACTTTTAGCATATGTTTCACAAGAATGCTGGGTTGTGAACAAAACTTTCGCCCCAGACGGGCGCATAGATTATGAAAGGAATAATTTTAATACAAAACTAGGCATTGCTCCTAGCTTTCCCGACTCCGATCCAGCGACTCTTTCGTCCACTAACCAGAAAAAAAGAACCACAACTTGAACTGCCATAAAATAGGACGCTGGGATTAGGAGAAATAGTAAAGGTAAGGATATAGCAAACAAAAAATCATGGGAATCACCGAACTGTAACAATAACACTGCTCTGGTAGGCCATTCCTATACAACAATAGTAAGGCAGTAAAGCGAGGAAGAATGTGCTTCAAGTAAAAATCGTAGCTATAGAAAAAATGTAAGTACCTGATTTTGATGGCGTCTATATTCTCCATTTGCGGAGTCTCGACAGGGAAGATTCGAGTGATAAGCGGTGCATTCAAATTATTATTGACCTAAAAATAATTGTTTTTCCATAGAATGAAACCTTCTACGAAACTGAACCAGAGCGAACACCCTCTACGACGGTCGACAAAACGAAAACATTCATCGATAACCGCTAGACCAAATACACCGCTGAAGGTAACAAACTTCCAAATAAAAATTCAATCAGTTTTTGAAATTTCAAAGTCCCTCTATCATCTTTTCAATTTACAGCCACTGTTCACATCAACACCACACCATCTGGATATCGTTGACGAAGCCAACTACTCGCCTCCAGCGAAACGAGCGCCTATACTGAGAAGAGTTCCTCTGAAGCTTGTAAGTTAATCCCAGTCTCAATATGTACATAGTGCTGAAATGATGATCTTTCGAAACGCGTCACCCGCGATTTTCCTATTGAGTATTAACACATTTAACACATTAATGACCGCCATTTAGTGCCCGTACCTTCTTTCTTCAAGAATTTCTTATCAGTAATGATTACTTCACCAATAAATTCATGATTAATAAAAAAAGTGCCCTATTTTCTGCAGCCTAAAATGCATATCTACCATTCTGGAAAGTTAAAATGGAGGCATAGTAGGGCAAAAACAACCAGGCTGCACCCAACCAGTAGTAAATTTGTATACAAAGCTGGGTAAGACCAAAATCAAAAACAGGACTTTTCCATTTCGGATGGCTATTGGCGTTACATGTCCTTGTGTTGCACACAAAATTGTTTAGATGTATAGCAACGAAATCGCCTCCATTTGCAGTGCGTATCCAATAGGGAAGGATTGCTTCGCGGTGCGGATTACCTGTTACACGCAATACGCACCACACAAAATCGCTCTGCTCGCTCCTCTGGGGTACCCCCCAGGAGGCCCGTCGCGCGGCAAGAAGGCAGAGTCGTCGGACGAATTGCAGCGCGTGATGTACGATGTAGGACGTGCAATGAACATCTTTAACACATTGACGACATTGAGACGCGGTAACGCGTCTCACTTTGCGCACCTCGTTGGACATTGAGACGCGTTACCGCGTCTCACCCTTATCATCCCTTTTTCTAGGGCATGCGCAGCTTTTTCCCGAATTGTTTGTCTCTCTTCTATGGATTAGAACATAACATTATTGTGAACGACATAGGTCATTGTTTGTTCAAATATGCTCCAGTTTAGAAGAAGTTTTCCAAGCTCACCGAAACCGGCGGGCTTGGTTCATTAATAGTTTTCATGCTATTCTCATGAACACGTCAATAAAAAAGGGTAGTGAAAGTAAATGCAAATCTAAAGAGACAGAAAAATACATGTTTCACTTGGTATAACCACATCAAAAGAGCTTTTGGCATCCACTACAGATAAAATGACTAAAATTTCCTTTTTCATTACCATTACATGTTCTTTAATCGGAACTTCGTCACTATATACTCTATTACCTTCTACGCATTGACTGTTACTGAGATGTTTTTGTACCACTGGTGCTTTAAAAAGTTATCAATAAAAATTCACGGATCCGAGGTGCGGCGGTCGCACTCGCAAAATCGGCCCGGTCCCACACGGCCAAAAAAGCCAAAACGCGCGCGGTCGTCAATGTGTTAAATGGACGCGAATCGTTAGTGCGCGCGCGACTCGTCCGCTGACTTTGCCTTCTTGCCGCGCGACGGGCCTCCTGGGGGTACCCGCTCCTCTGTCCTCATTTGGCGCGCAAATTTGAACTGCAAGTGGATGTCGCGATGTCGCGTGGTGGCCTCTTGTGACCTGGACAGTACCATGCTTGCGAGGTTACATATTCGTTTTGCTGTAGACATACTTTGAATGGTACACCTAAGAACTTTTAACCACAACCATTTCGTGAGCAACAGCCAATGGAAAGAGGACATATGCAAAAAAGGTTCTACGTCATAAGAGCATTGTGGTGCGTAGAGATAGCCCCATGTCGCTTAAAGGTGTGTGCCAATCTTTTTCCTGGCAAGGAAGAAAAGCTGTCGTAGAAAGCTGTCGGTTTCCCGACCTTAATACACCCAGCCGGCAATCGCAAACACAGTAACACTAACCTTACTGTGGGCGGCACGGAGAGGCACATCAAAGTCCCCCCTGCAATTAATAGATCCCAAGAACACTCTTTGGGATCAGAAAGTTATCAAATAAATTACATATTGACAATGTGAGCAATTTTTCCACACCCCTGCATTCGGAAAGCTGCATCTGTAAGAGGAAGTATCGAGCGTATTCTGAAATTTCATAGGAGGGTAGACCGAGTTCAAACAGTCTAGGATACTCAGCAGGAAGGACGAGCTGACAAGCAGCGGGAGAGGTTTATTTCATCAAAATCAGGTTTTTAGGACATCCCAGTGCAGCGTCCTCCAGCAATCCCCGAAATTGAAGAAGAAGAGGAAAAACGGCCTCAACTGAATCACCGAATAAAGGTATTTCAGTTCCGGATTTTTTCATTGGATTTTAAATTTTATTTTTCGCACACTGAAGAGATAGTGAAAATCACAACCAAATCACCGATCAACATCATTTACTACAAACCTCGCCAAGTTTCAGCACAATTTTATTTCCACACTGGTAAGGAAAGCAACCAACAACTAACGCCCAACATCACGTCGCGATCGGGGTTTCTCTCCAGGACCTTCTCCACTGACTGACTGACCTTACAATTTTTCGCTTATATTGTATTGAAATTACCCAAGATTATTCACTTTCTCAGTGCATGTTCTTTTACCTTTTCCAGATCTTCGCTTTTCCCATAATCCCCTCTTAGAAAAAAAATTTTCCGGGTGGTAAGTAATAATACTCATCAATAGTCAGAAATAATAATAATATATGAATGTATATTGATAGATATTTAACTGTCTAGAGGCATCTATTCCACAAGCATCTTCTATTTGATGTTTCTACTCCTAATTCTGTTTGTTGCTCTTTGTACCATTTTTTCACTAATAAATATACAAATCAATGAAACTGTTTGGCGATAGCTAAAGCTAGCTA